ATTCACTCCACAACTGGATATTCTCCATTTTCTATACTTTATGGCCCTTACTTTAATGGACCTAATATTAACAATGTTTGACGTTATTCGAACAATACAACGAAAATCGAAAAAAGGAATTATTACCATTTTTTTGAACACATTTATAAAACCGCTTATCGAAAACAATCTAAAAACACCGAAAAACAAAATAAAAATCCTGAAACACCTCCAAACTTACACAGTGATCAAATAATCTACAAGAAAACGACTCTAAGGAATAAAATGAATTCTCAGTACATACCGACAAAAATTACGAACGTCGATAAAAATAAAATAACTGGCATTTCTAAAAAAACCCCACCTCTACGCATATACGAAAAATTAAAAGGCTTAGAAAAAATCCTCTTTCTTTTCAGCCTCCTGATCCCGATCCTGTAGGCCCAAGCACTTCAGGTCTACAAACTTCCGATTAACGGATATTATACCTCATTAGTTTTAAATCATTATCATACTACATATGTACCATTTAACATTACTAATATTAAGCATTTATTATCCCATTTACTTAATAATGTATTAATTTTAGAGAAGTTAGTAAACGAGCAAAATAATAATTGTACAAGGAAACAGTTCCATCACGTATATAGGGCATTAAATTTCACTTACAATACTTATTCAAAGCTCAACATTTATGACTTGAATAACCGTAAGAAAAGAGGATTAATGAACTTCCTTGGCAGCGGTATTAAGTTCATCACCGGAAATCTCGATAATAATGATATGGATACGATTATGCAAAATGTAGAAATACTTAAGCAAAATCAACTAAATTCAATGCGTATTACGTGCAAATAAATAACCTTAATCAATTTTTAGAAAAGCTGCTAAGAGTATTTTCATTTGTGCACTTACAAACCTTAGATCTCGAAATATTCAGCTCTGACGAAATAAACGAGATTTGGCAATACCTGAAAGTTCATTGCCCTAAAAATGCCCTATGGCCTATTAATCATATTTCCGAAATAACTATAATTTGTAAAACCGGTTTGGTAATTACGAGTGAAATGGCAATTCTCGCAATTAAAATACCTATTTTTGAAAGAAATGTTTGCGACTTACAAATTGTGTATCCAATACCCAACAACGATTCGAAAATGTTAATTAGCCCTAGTAAATATTATTGTAATAACCTGTGGTACAAACATTGCCAAATAGTTAATTCAAGATGGTTGTGTTCGAATCAGTTAAATAGTTGTCATCTTCCAGTTGACTGTCAGTATGCTACTGTACAAAACAACTTTCGTGTGCATACTATAACATTTAAAAACTCTTTACTGTTCTGTGCAAAGACGTCGGAACTAGTATACGAAGACTGCTTCCAGTTCCAAAAAGAACTTCTTCAAGGTTGCTCACTGATCCAGAGCCAATGCGACGTCATCATCGACAACCAGAAGTATTCCTTGGGTATAAATAATATATCCATTCAGTATCCGGAAACGACAAATCTTCAACCAAGCAACCTCACCATAAATCTACAAATGGAACACTTAGAGGATCCGACCCTTATTCAAGACGACCTGATACTGCCGATGAAAACCGAAAGATTGGTTCACCAAAACCAAACATATTACTGTTTAATTTTCTCATTTTCTCATTTGTGTATAGTTCTCCTGACTAGTTCCAGCATCATGCTCTACCAATGGAGAAAACATAGACTCCTAGAGGCCATCCCTGTCAAAACCCTAGAAAGAATCATCAACGAGGACGTTGAAGAATCTAAGGGAGGAGGAGAAATATCCCTAGACGGGACGCATCCTGCTGAATAGACACTGAATCAACGATTAAGCCATATAAAATCGACTGTCACCGTTTCCCGTGTAATATTAATGTAGTTTCAAAGCCCTTCGCTGTTCACATTAATCGTTCGTTTTTAGTTTTAAGAAAAGCCCTGTTTTTCGAAAATAAACCTTTTTTAAAACGTACTCCGTCGGTCGTGTTATTTAACTCGCGAATACTTTAGTATGGGACGACATAATAAAATTGATTCGTTTTATTTATGTCAAACGTATGCTAAAATACCTAAACATCTTATAAGACGATTTAAATTTGAAACACATATACAACGGTCATATCGGTACCGATATGACTTTTGAATGTTTTAAAGAAATGTGTGCTTTATGCTGGAACGAAGCGTTTAGTTTCCTAATTATATTTAAAGACTGCGATATTAACCAAGGAGGTCGATATAGGAAAACATTTGATCGCTTCATACATTTCTAATCGTCCTATCGCGGCGGCGAAGCTGTTTCGACCTGTTCAGGAGCTGTTTAGACCTGTTCAGAAGCTGTTTAGACCTGATCAAGAGCTGTTTTAGACCTGTTCAGGAGCTGTTTAGGTCCCCGATCAAAAGTTGTTTACACCTGATCAGAGAGAGCTGTTCCTATAAAGGTTATTCACTAGTGGTTCTACATTCAGAACGTAACTTGCTATAGACGGTGATATCGAGCGCTATGATCAGTCAACAAAATGATAAAGTTTTGAAAAAACGATTAATTTCTAAACGTAAGGATAAAAGAAAAAAATTTGAAGAATTAAAACATGGTGAAATGATGCAAGAGACAATGTTTAAGCCTATTACAAAACGATTAAAAAATATCGAGTCTTCTTTGCAAAATTCAACAACAACAACGCCAGCAACGACGACGACGACGACTCTAGTGAGTGATGTAACACAAACTACTCCAAAGTATCATCCTCCCGTAAAAGTGGAGGAGCCCGCCGCCACCGCCGCCACCACAGCAGAAGAACAAACTTTACCACTATCAGTAATTCAAAAGAAACGAAAAAGATTGCCTAGACGGTTATCATTTAATTCGACTCCTATTAGTAATTACGATTCACCGAGTGAAATGAAACAATGAACTATAGATGAAATTGATTCAGATTATGAAGACAACGTAGTAAACGTAGACAAGGAATCTACTAGTCGATTTGAAGATATCCGACAAGTGTCTTTTATTGAATATTTGGATCAATACGTTCCATTACCACGGAAATATATTCGAGAAATTTACGAAGATACCGAAAATAGAGAGTTTGATCACAAGTATGGCGTTAGAATAGATAAAAGTACTGAAAAATTTTTTATTGGTAACTCACAACTAGATATTCAAGGATCAGATATTTATGTTCAAGGTAAACGGTACAGAGGTACTCAACGTTTATACGAATTGTTATTTAAAAAGTATCCTAGTAATAGTTTATTTAACGAACAAGACAGGGAAAATTATAAACAAATTGTATACAAAACGAACGCTCACAAAAGACATTATAAATCCAATGCTCAAATTGACGGAAAATATAAAAATATTATTGCACCAACAATAACTGGGGGAAAGGGTTTAATGACAACAATAGAAGTGACACCCAATAAAAAAGATTACATTTATTGGGACGGTCACTTAAATGAGATAAATTCGCTAATTGCAGAATTGCGCGAAGCTGATATTATAGAATGAAGCCGTCGAAATTTATTACGGTTGCCAAGCGACAAGTTGTAGAGGAACTTCATAAACCTGCTCGTATAAACTTTAAACGTAGAAAAACTATAATTAAATCTTTATATGATCTGTTTCAAGCTGACCTTATCGAAATGATTCCGTACGCAAAACACAATCATGGATACAAATACATACTAATTTGTTTGGGCGCTAAATGTAAAAAGAAGTCGGGAGCGGAAGTGACGAGAGCTATGAAAACAATTTGAAAGTCCACCAAAAAACCAAAAAATTTACAAACTGACGCTGGAGCTGAATTTTTCAACAAAGACTTTCAAAATTTAATGAAAAAATATCATATCAATCATTATAATGTATTTAGCGAGAAAAAGGCCGCTATAGTGGAAAGAGTGAACCGTACCATAAAAAATATAATGTGGAAAGAGTTTAGTCTACGAGGAAACTATAAACATCGACATATTATCGGACATATTATCGGAATATTATCGGAAATTGTTAGAAACTACAATAATAAACATCACAGCGTAATTAAAATGAAACCGGCCGATGTTACAAAGAAGCACGAAAAAAAAGCTATTGGAAACGGTGTTTAATCGAATAAAAATGACAAATCTTAATACAAAATTGGTCAACGGAAATTTTTACGGTAGATAAAGTTCAACTAACCAATCCCACTACGTATTTATTAAAAGATGAAAATAATCAAAATATTCTCGGTGGATTTTACAACGAACAATTGCAAAAAGTAAAGTTTCCAGACGTTTACCTAGTTGAAAAAATTCTCAAAAGAAAACGCGATAAAGTGTTTGTAAAGTGGTTGGGGTTTGATGACAAACACAATAGTTGGATAGATATAAATAATGTTGCGTAGGTGTGAGGAAGATTCAGTTGCAAATTAGTAGTGCTCATAAAACATCTAAAAAATGTTTATCCTCGACGTTCAAGGATTTCAGTATAAACAGAGCGGTTATATCGTTAAAGAAATCGCAATAATAAACGTGTCCAGCGGAGAAGTGTTTCATAGAATGGTGAAAACACCTTGTCCTTATAACTGGTTCACAGGTGAAATTAGAAATCATCTTTTGAAGACCACGAATCGTGTCCACGGACTATCCTGATGAAAAAAAAAGATGAGACCTGTCTAGCTCAAGAATGTATAGTTAGTTTTATTGGAAACGTTGTACAAAATAACTATATTTATGTTAAAGGCAGTTGTAAGGTAAACCGGTTAAAATCACTGCTTTATTACAATGATATTGTCGATTTACATGACATTGGATGTCCAAATTTAAAAAATTTAAAAGAAAATAACCAGTATAATTTTCATTGTAATAATCACTTTTATAATTCCTCTAATTGTGCCAAAGAGAATGTACTATTGCTGAGAAATTGGTATATTAATAAAAATTATCTTAAAAAATGAACTTGTTGTTTTATTAACTTTAACCATAATATTATTTTTATCATGTGATGGAAAAATTAAACAAGTTATAACTCGAATATTTTTTTATTATTTTTATTTACTAACTACACTAAATGTTTGACTTTCAAACTCGTCCGCGTCATCGTTTAAAATGAAGCAAAAATCTTCAACTTTGCTGGTAGTGGGAGTGGTGGTGGTCGTCGTCGTAGTGGTGGCTGATTTTAAAATTCTGTTTTCCAGAATTTTTATTTTCTCTTCTTCCGAAGCCGGCTTGAATTTTTTAGCCGGTACGGGTTCGTCCTGTTCTATGGCAGCCGCATAAAAATTGACGTCCGAGAATTCACGCATCCCCTTCAATAATAATTGTAATTCTTCCTCGTCATCGGCCGCCACTCTCAGGTATCGGACGGGAAGATTTTTTAATTTTCCCTGAATCGTTTGATTTTTCGGTGAATATTTCAAATACAAATGAACTCTCTTGTTCACAATCTTCACCTCTTTCCTCCCATACCTATGACAATTTGATAGATTTTTAGTAAATTATGAAAAACAAGGCAATGGAGGTGACAGACTTACCTGAATAAATTTTTTAAAAATACCGCCAGCATTTTCTTGGAAAGTCTGGCGGGATCGGTTGACTCAAAAATCAATGTTGACGGAGTGTCCATCTTCGTTGTGTACATTGTCGTAGAGTTCGATATATCTACGTATCTCGTGTATAGTAGTCGCAGTCGTCGCTTCGTCGTGGTCGTTTCGTTGTCGTCAGATTATCTGTCGACGAGTGTTAGTGATCGCGCAGAGTACGCCCGCGAACGTGTCTTAAACCGCATAAACGGTTCCAACGGCAGTGGAAGTGCTTTTTAGCGCTGAAACTGTCTACAAAGAATTCGCTTGTCCTTCTTAGGACATTAAACGTTAAAGTGAGGGAAAATAGAGACTTTCCACGGAGCTGGAACGTCTAAAGGTAAGTCAAAAATTAAAGCGCTCAAAAATTGACAAAAGCGCGAGTGACAGTGAAAACAGTGCGACAATCCGAAACAAAGAGCGGAACAAGGAGCACAATACCAAGATGGAGGATTCCTCGGACGGAGAAGTCCGAAATAGGAGCAAGACAAGAGATAAAATGGAACGATTAAAATTAAGGGCCGAGCGAGCAGAAGCTAACTTCCGTGAGCTGAAAGAACAGAATCAAAAAATGATGGCAACCGTCGAGAACCTAAACCAAAAGATTGGGCAACTTCTCGAAGAATTGGCGGCCGAACGGGCCGAAAAGAGAGCCATAATGGCCTCGATGCGCCAAGAAGCGCAGAAAGACTTAATGCCACCACCCCCACCACCCCGGCCGTCCAGCAAGACACCCATGAAGAAAGTAATCACCACAAGTGATGACGATTTCCCAGTTGTCGGAGACTGGGAAACCCAAAAACGAAAGAAAAAAAGGACGCAGGGAGGCAGAAGAGAGGAACCCGCCCCCAAAACGAACGAAATAACACCTAACCCACCTCCGCCAAACTGGCCACGGCATAACAATAAAGCATTGACCCACCACCTAGAGGAAAGGAAGGAGCCTGCCATACCCCCGGTGACTATAAATGCCAAACATAACTGGACAGCCATCTCCGGCGCCATTAAAAACGCCAGGATAAAATACAACAAGGCCAGGTCCGTGAAGGACGGCATCAAGGTGTTCCCAGAGACCACCGAAGATTACAGGAACCTAATCAAGTTCCTAAACGCACACAATGCGGAGTACTAGACGTACGCATTAAAAGAAGAGAAGAAAACTAAGATGGTCATAAAGGGCCTCTTTAAAGAACTTCCCCTCACGGAGATCGAGGAAGACCTTAAGGCACAAGGTATAGAAGATGCCAAAGTAGTACGGCTATTGAAGAAAAAGAGGGACGACAAAGGAGAGAAACTGGTCTCCGAGTTCTTCATTGTAACAACTAGCAATGAAAACATAAAAAACATTACCAACGTTTGCTCCGTAAAGGTCACGCTCGAGGAGCCACACAAAACCAGTGAGGTACCGCAATGCCATAGGTGCCAAAAGGTTGGCCACGGCCAAAGCAGATGCACCTTCCAACACAGGTGCGTCAAGTGCGGCAAGGACCACCCCACTCGGGAATGCACCGTTCCATCGGAGCCCAAAACTGCGGCGGCCCCCATGTAGCAAGCTACAGGGGTTGCCCCAGCGTCCCCAAAACCGACGCACAAAAGAGGAGAGAAATCCAAAGGAACCAAGCTCCCCCCAAGAGGCAAGAACCACAACCACCCAGGCAGGCTCCTGCTCTGCAGCAACAGGACATTACAACTATCCTGGCGTCGCTACAAGCCATTTTACTGAGATTAGCCCCCCAGTAAATGGCCATACAAATCAAGCCCACGTCCTTGAGAGCGACAACGTGGAACATACGGGGCATACGGGCCAACAAAGCCGATATCGAAGAATATCTGGCAGAATATGACGTAGACATACTAGGGCTACAAGAAACACTTATAAGAGGCGGGACGAACATCAGATTCCACAACTACGTCATATACAGAAAAGATAGCCCAAACGGAAACGCCCGAGCAAACGCAGGAATCGCGATACTAGTGAAGGAATCACTAGACCACGAATACTTAGGAATTCAAGACACCGGACTGGACGCCATCACCGTAAGAGTGAATATGAGGGACGGAACCACGCTCAAGATCACCACTGTATACAGGCAAAATACTGTCAACATCACGGCAGAAGACATAGCTACCCTAATGATGGGAAGAGAATCCCAAATAATAATAGGAGATTTCAACAGTCACGCCAGAAGCTGGAACAGCAGGCAGTACTGTCCAAATGGAAGAATATTGGAAGCCGAGGTAGCAAGAAATGGGGGAACGGCCATCGGACCGGACGAGCCGACCCATTATCCCGACAATATAAACCATCGCCCTGATGTGATTGACATAGCCATAATTAAGAACCTGCGAATGCCCTACGCCATAGCAACGATGAACGAAGGACAGTCAGATCACATGCCAGTGATGCTGACACTAGGGAACGACGAAGAAATAACGGAAAGCAAGTACAAGGTAAGAAGGACGGACTGGAAAGCGTTCAAGGAGAAATGCGCACAAAGAATTAGCCTGGCAAGAAGACTCGTAACGAGACAAGACCTGGACGAAGAGATCGCCACCCTGGAAGGCACGATCCTGCAGGCCTACGAGGACTCGACGACCACCGAAATACGCAAAAAAGACAAAAGAATAGGCGGACCACTCCCTCCACATATCGACAGGAAAATCAGAGATCGGAGAAGACTCAGGAGAATCTATTGGAGAAATAGAACTGAGCAAAACAGAATAGCCCTGAACCGAGCATCTAACCAACTGAAGGAGATGCTACGCGAGCACAGAAACAGACAATGGAAAAGAAAAACCGAAGAACTCACAACCGGAGACAACACTATGTGGAGAATGCAAAAGGTATTGCGGAATCCCAGGACCACGATTCCACCAATACACGGAGAAAATGGTCTAGCATATACCAGCTTAGAAAAAGCGGAAGCATTCGCGGACTGCCTGGAGCGCGAATGCAGAACAAACACTGAAGAAAACGAAGAAACCGAAGAAATAGAACGCAAAATGGCCAGAGCAGCAAGGGAGGTTAGAGAACAGGATGACAGTGAGGAAGTCGCTGATCCAATAACCCCTAAAGAAATAGTCGCGCATATAAAGAACTCCAGAACGAGAAGAGCTCCAGGACCGGACCAAGTGACTAACATAATGTTAAAGAACTTACCAAGAAAAGGTTTCGTGGCAGTCACCAATATAGGCAACGCAATCCTCAGGCTGAGGTACTTCCCCGACGCCTGGAAGGAAGCCACGGTGACTATGATTCCCAAACCAAAAAAGAACAGAACCTTTCCGCAAAATTATAGGCCTATCAGTCTAGTAAGCAGCATGAGCAAGATCATCGAAAGAGCCATCCTCACAAGAATTAAGACCTTCACGGAGGCAATGCAGGTACTACCTGAAGAACAGTTCGGGTTCAGGGCAGGACACTCCACCGAAATGCAACTTCTAAGACTCGTCGAACAAGCCGCAGAAGGCATCGAAAGAAAACAAGCAACAGGATTGGTATTACTAGACATAGAGAGAGCCTTCGACCGAGTCTGGAAACAAGGACTCGTGGGAAAAATGAAGACCATAGGATACCCCAACTGGATCTGCAAACTGACGGATTCCTACTTGACGAACAGGAGGATCCAGGTGAAAGTAGGGCAAGAAAAATCGCAACCGAGGTTCTTGGAAGCAGGCGTCCCACAAGGAACGGTGCTATCTCCCCATCTCTACACGATATTTACCCACGACGTACCGAAGCTCCAAGGAACCGAACTTGGACTGTACGCAGATGATACAGCCTTATCATTCAGGTCACCAAACGTAGATTACGTAACGAGAAAAATGCAAAGAGCACTCGACGATTTGGAAAAATGGAGCACCAAATGGAAAATAAAAATAAACGCCAACAAAACGGAGGCAGTGCTGATCACGAAGAAAAGAACAAGTCCCCGCGAGACACTCAACCTCAACGGAGAGGACATCGAGTGGAAGGACTCCGTAAAATATCTCGGGGTGAAGATCGACAAAAGATTAACGTTTAAACAGCACATAGAGGACAATATAGCCAAAACCAGGGCAGTGGCGACCCAACTATACCCTATCTTAGGGAAACACAGCGAGATGAACCTAAATAACAAGGTCACGCTGATAAAGGCGGTTATAAGACCGACACTGACCTATGCATCTACTGCATGGGGCTTTGCGGCAAAAACCTACATGGAAAGGCTCAGAGCTTGCGAAAGCAAAATCATCAGGTGGGCAGTAGGAGCTCCATACTACGTAAGAAACGAAAATATCAGAAGAGATCTGAAACTCAACACTCTGTTAGAGTTCATTAAGGACAAAGCGATAAAAGCTTTCGAAAAAGCGGAGATGCACGAATCCAGAGGACTAAGAAGAGCAGTGGATTACGATCTTGAAGGAGCAAGGCCAGCCAAAAGGCCTAGAAGAATACTAACTGAACCAGGATGACAGCAAGATCGCGGATAAGAAGACATTCCCGAACTCAGAAGACACCAGGTAAGTAGCCTTGAGTTACCCGAGCATCCCGAACAGAAGAAAAATTTTCTTACTGAACGGGATAGTCGGCATCAAATTAAAGACACATAAATTTCATTTTCTCGCAACCAACCAACACTTTCTCCACAGATACATCCCGTATTCCGCAGGAATACGGAGTAGAGCGAAGCATCGAGGTACCTCGACAGCAGACACTCAAAAACGGTAGAGAGTCAGGAGGGTCTGGCTTAGGGCTTCGCCCTGCTCACCCGAATGACACCTGCCATGGTGAGGCGGTGTCCCAGGAGGGGCACCGGGAAAGGTGGCGGGTCCTCACCGCGAACCGCGAACCCTCGTGTATAGTAAAGTGAACCTCCGAAGAGAGAGGACGTGTACGCGACAGTTAGTGATTACGAGTGCATTAAAAGGATTAACCCAGTGGAAATCTACCTGCTCCGAGAAACGACCGCCCGAGCAGAACCTCGGCCGGCAGGCCGCACGATGGATCGTAAAGATCCGATTTCCGACCCGGAGGATACCCCGGCGTCTTCGGACGACGGAAAAAGGTCTCGCAGCCCCGTAAACAAAAAGCCCGCCAAACCATCCTACAATGATTTGGCAGAGTACAGTAGTAAACTGGCTGCAGAAAACAAGATCCTTCGTTCGAGGATAAACGAAGTTATTCAACAAAATTCCGATCTGCAGAGAACCATCAGCGAAATGCGGGAGGCGCAGAAAACCCAGGAGGAGATGACCAGGAAGCTCCAGGAAACCTCAGACAAGGTACTCGCCAAGGTAGGCAAACCCGACATCACCCCAACCCCACAACCAAACACCACCCCCGCACCAACCCCCGACACGCCCATGGACACGTCCGCACCGGCCACACAAAAGAAAAGGAGGAACTCGGTGGAATTCCCTCCGCTCAAAAAACAACCGCCATTCCACGCCAATCCCAGTCAGACTACGAGCCCCCCGGCGAAGCGCGCGGTTCCCCCGGCGCAGCCAGGGACAAGCAAGGAACAACCCCCGACGACTCGCCCAGTCGAACCGACGCCAAACCAGCCACCAGCCCCGGACACCAAAGACCGCGTTCCCCCCATCATCATAAGGTCCAAGTCAAATTGGGTCCAAGTCTCGGCGGCCTTGAAAACCAGACAAATACATTACACGTCAGCCAGAAACACCGAGGAAGGCATAAGGATACAGCCAGGCAGCACCGCAGATTACCGCAACGCCACGAGGTTTCTGGAGGAAAACCGCATACCATACCACTCCTTTCAGCTAAAAGAAGAAAGAAACCTCCACGTGGTCCTGAAAGGCATCCCCGAATCCCTCGACTCGGAGACCGTCGCCGAAGAACTCAAGGCCCTGGGGTACCACCCGTCGAAGGTACGTAGAATGACAAAGTTGGCCCACGACAAAAGGGTACCAATGGGCATGGTCCTGGTGGTTCTCCCGAGAGAGGAGAAACACATTTACCAGCTACAATACTTCGTCAGTTTAAAAATCAAACCCGAAGCACTCAAGCAACGACACGAGGTGACGCAATGCCACAATTGCCAACTCTTCGGGCACAATCAGGGAAAATGCACGGCGCCGCCGAAGTGTGTAAAATGTGGTGCAGGGCACAGGACAGAAACCTGTAAAAAACCGAAAAACACCCCCGGCCGCTGCGCTAACTGCCGAGGCGATCACACAGCGAACGCGAGGATATGCCCGTCAAGACCGCCACCCAAAATTCCACCCCCCGCCAAGGCTGCAACAGCTGCCACGCCACCGAAGTCCAACCGACCGATGTCCTACGCCGGAGCCACCTCCACACCGCCTGCCCCAAGCCCGAGTCCCGAACCCATCCCCGCACACCAACTTCAGCAGGTTATCCAGCTCTACAACCTGCTGAAATCCTGGAATACACCACCGACAAACGCATCCATAAACATCACCAATGAATGAAATGCATTTATTTTTTTAATTATTATCTATCCTAAAATTTCCACTTCGTCAGCACGATAATAACACAGTGTATTCATAATATTAAAAGCGATCACGTTATATTTATCAATTGGGCAAAACATAATAGTTTTGACAGTAACCCCGCTATCCGATAAAAGCGGTAAAATTCTACAAAGTGATATTATTTATCACATACGCGTCTATTAGAATAGACAAAAAAGTCTGCTGCGTATACGTAAAAATGTCTGAAATCAGTGAGTTGAGTGAAAAAACGCTGCTGAAAATTAAAGAAGTTGGCGAGTTAATTAAAACAAAACATGAATATTGCAAGTGGATAAAATTTCTGAACAGAAACATTTTAATTTTGAAAAAATATTTAAAAAGTGTATCATCGTCATCGTCGACAGACAGAAAAGCGGTTGCAAAAATAGAATCAAATTTAAGTCTTTTAAAAAATTTCAAAGAACAATTCAAACATCATAAAACAGTTAAAAAAAATAATGCAAAATTAATTTGGGTTGATAACGAGTCTTGCCTTAAAAATCGTATTAAAACGGGAGCAATAGTTAATTTAGATATTAAAGATCCTATAATATTTATTAGCAAGGCGTTTAGATCATTCTCTTGTCAAATAAAAAAAGCCCTTCGGGAGTCCCTAATTAAAATTAACGTAATATTTCTTGCAGATTTTGTAAAACCGCAAACGGGCGAAATCGACGAAAAACATTTTTCCACCAAAAGAAAGAATTTTATAGTAATTATATTAAAAATAATATATTAACAAAATTAGAAGATTTTGAAGATAGGGATTCTGGTTGGGCTCTTCACCGGATTCTACAATTAAAAGTTAACATTAATAATTATACACCGATAAATATCGGTCTTTCAACTTATGTATCGATGCCAAAATTTATTATTAATAAAAAAGCTGTTCTTAATATTCAAAATAACGATGAATATTGTTTTCTTTGGTCTATCGTTGCCGCGCTACATCCTTGTCGTACAAATCAAAATCCGCGTATTACCTATTCGTATCCTCAGTGAAGTTTTAAAATACGATGGCATTGAATTTCCCATCAAATTAAAAGACATAAAAAAGTTTGAAGAAATAAATAATATTTCCATAAACGTTTTCTCATTAGAAAAGCGGGAAATTGTACCGGCGTGTTTAAGTCAATTCTCTTATTTAAGAACGGTTAATTTATTGATGCTTCCCACCGATATAACCAATGATTACGACGACGACGACAACAATAATCTCTCTAATCACATTAACAATTTTGAGACAGTTTTTCATTTCGCATTAATTAGTAGTTTATCACGGCTATTATCGAAACAAAGAGGAGATTCGACTCATAGCAGATTTTATTGCGATTGGTGAGTTATATATCTATTTATGATGACCCATATAATAATAAGAACGCATTCGATAAGGATAAGCTTATTCAGCTATTATATACTATAAATACAAGTATTGTGCATGTGCTTATTCAGTTTCTTAAGTCGCTTCTTGTCGTAACGCTGCCTGTAAACGCTCGTATTGAATAAAAAATCGTTTTTAAAAATACAAGTTTTACGGACAGAAATAAAATTGGCGCAGTCGGTAGGATCCTTTTCGGTGTGTTTTCGAAAATTTACTCGATATTAGTGCGCTGGATTACCGTTTTTGGATTGTCAGTGCATTGTACTTCTCGAAAGTTTCTTCGCGATTAATGTGCTGAAACGCCAGTTTGGATCATCAGTGTATCGCAAAAGGGATCGTGATACACTTCTGTTTCAACAGTTAAGAAAAAGATTTCAAAACATCATCGTTACACGGGGCACTTGGGGCTCCTGGCAACATCAATCATTGGTACGCCATTTCGATAGCCAGTAGGACGAACTAGCCTGAGCCAGCGTCCACTACAAACGGCATCGTTCTTGGGAAAGTGCAGCTTCTCAACTGGACGTGACCATTTGATACAGGAACGAGACTAGGAACATATAATTGTAAGTGCGTTTACTAAACTGTTCCTTATAGTTGTGACTCCTGTTAGTTAAGAATTTGTAAAAGATTTTATGATATTTCATGAGGAAATTTAAAAATAGGCTAAGCGATATTACTTATTCTAGAAGAATAAATAGTGCGGAAAATAATCAATCACGTAGTAATCAAATAGACGAATTATATTCTGGTATTTCTTTGTTGCATTGTGTAAGTGAAGAAAATAATCCTACTCTTACGGATACTTTAGAAACTAGCTTAGATTTAACTATTAGTGAAATTAACAATATGGCCGACGCTTTGAGATCAACTGTTTCTCTATTAAAAAACTTCGATGGTACGCCGTCACGTTTAGAATTTTTCCTTAACCAAATTGATACTTTCTATGTAAGATATTTTAATAATGATCAACCACAGCAGGAATATGTTATCTTGGCAATAAAATCAAAAATTATAGGTACAGCCGAAGATTTTCTTTTAACTCGACTAGACCTTAGAACCTGGCCCGAGATAAAATCAGCTTTAATTCAGAAATTTAGTGATCCGATCACTCGTACTAACGTTCAACAACAATTAATATTTTCATCGAGGAAAAATGATTCTATTCATGACTACATTCAAAAACTCAAAGCCTTAGTCACTAAAATTAATACTAAGATATGTTCAGAAATCGAAAACGCTGAAGCTAGATCGATATTAATTTCTCAAAATGAATTAACCGCTACACAAAATCTTTTAGCAAACATTCCTAATGAATTGAGAACGTTACTTATAGTTCCCAATCCTCAGACTTTGGATCAAGCTATAGATACTATTAATAATTATGAAATATTAACAAGTCAAACACATTTTAAAAATACTTATCTCCAAAATAGTACGTCTACACGACATAATATGCAGAAACCATTAAATTATAATAATCAAATATCGAGTAATCTGATAAATCAATCTTTTAGACAGCCAAATCAACCCTTTAGACAGCAAAATTTACCATTCGGACAATCCCATCAAATGCCACAAAATCAATTCTTTAAACCCCAAAATCAATTTTTCAAGCCACAAAATCAATTCTTTAAACCTCAAAACCAATTTTTCAAGCCACAAAACCAATTTTTAAAACATAATTTATTTTTCTTGCAGTGTGTGGTCTTGCATTATCCTGTTGCAACAAGGTCGTGTTTTGTTGATAATCCGTAAAAATAATCCCTTTGCCATCCCAGAATACAGTAGGCATTACCTTTCCAGACAGATGGAACTGCAGGCGCCTTAAGTAGAGGACCATCTTCAGGTGTGTGCCATTCTTTGCATTGACTTTCTACAGTTGGTACTATTCGTTACCAAAATTGCTACTGGAAGTTAGACCATATCAGAAGTATTGAATTTCTGTTCTGGTTCCAGCCACCTTGACACCCTAAGTCTAAACCCAAACAATCATGCAAGATGTCACGAACTTGAATAGCTATCCCTTAGCGCGCAGTACTTTGACGAATGGTCATTCACCTGTCAGCAATGTTTTTCGCAATTTCTGTCCACAGAAAGAAAATTAGTACTTTTTGAGATGCTGTTGCGTCTTTCTTGGTAACAAAAACAGTCCTACGAAAAGGCGTCCATATCAGTCGAACATCTAATGAGATCACGTTACGTAGTCAACTCGCTTTACATTAAGAGAGTTTATAATTTTAATTACCCTATACTCACCACATAATCTCAACAAAAAAAGCTTTGGGAGGTATCGTATAAAAATATGTGTACCAAACCGTGAACAACCTTTACTATTTTTTATTTTTACTTTACTTTTTTTAAGATAAACCTACTTACACAGAAAGTACCAAAGATATTATGAATGGTTATTTATAACATTTAAGAAGCATTAGAAAGTTGTCGGATTCGTTTAATGCGTTGAGTGGGAGCTGATATTTCACAATTCAATGCTCGCAGTACTCGGCTACTACATCAAAAACTCTGACCAATTGAGTCTTTATTTACATAATTCATAGAACTGTAGGTTAACCTGCAGATTTTGTATTATTATACATCCTTATCCCTAAGAAATTAGAAAATAACTGTCGTTTTTTTAGTATTTACGGCTTGACAAAGATACAGTTTTTCCTTTTTTACCGAAAATTGTCGATTCGAATCGTTAAAATTGTAAATTCTTTTCATCTATTGATTATAGAACAATTCCAGCAACTTTGGAAACGTTCCTTGTATAATATATATATATATATATATATATATATATATATATATATATATATATATATATATATATATATATATATATATATATATATATATATATATATATATATATATATATATATATATATATATATATATATATATATATATATATATATATATACACTTACTAGAGTCGTCGTCGTCGTCGTTGCTGGCGTTGTTGTTGTTGAATTTTGCAAAGAAGACTCGATATTTTTTAATCGTTTTGTAATAGGCTTAAACATTGTCTCTTGCATCATTTCACCATGTTTTAATTCTTCAAATTTTTTTCTTTTATCCTTACGTTTAGAAATTAATCGTTTTTTCAAAACTTTATCATTTTGTTGACTGATCATAGCGCTCGATATCACTGTCTATAGCAAGTTACGTTCTGAATGTAGAACCACTAGTGAATAACCTTTATAGGAACAGCTCTCTCTGATCAGGTGTAAACAACTTTTGATCGGGGACCTAAACAGCTCCTGAACAGGTCTAAAACAGCTCTCGATCAGGTCTAAACAGCTTCTGAACAGGTCTAAACAGCTCCTGAACAGGTCGAAACAGCTTCGCCGCCGCGATAGGACGATTAGAAATGTATGAAGCGATCAAATGTTTTCCTATATCGACCTCCTTGGTTAATATCGCAGTCTTTAAATATAATTAGGAAACTAAACGCTTCGTTCCAGCATAAAGCACACATTTCTTTAAAACATTCAAAAGTCATATCGGTACCGATATGACCGTTGTATATGTGTTTCAAATTTAAATCGTCTTATAAGATGTTTAGGTATTTTAGCATACGTTTGACATAAATAAAACGTATGCTAAAATACCTAAACATCTTATAAGACGATTTAAATTTGAAACACATATACAACGGTCATATCGGTACCGATATGACTTTTGAATGTTTTAAAGAAATGTGTGCTTTATGCTGGAACGAAGCGTTTAGTTTCCTAATTATATTTAAAGACTGCGATATTAACCAAGGAGGTCGATATAGGAAAACATTTGATCGCTTCATACATTTCTAATCGTCCTATCGCGGCGGCGAAGCTGTTTCGACCTGTTCAGGAGCTGTTTAGACCTGTTCAGAAGCTGTTTAGACCTGATCAAGAGCTGTTTTAGACCTGTTCAGGAGCTGTTTAGGTCCCCGATCAAAAGTTGTTTACACCTGATCAGAGAGAGCTGTTCCTATAAAGGTTATTCACTAGTTGTTCTACATTCAGAACGTAACTTGCTATAGACGGTGATATCGAGCGCTATGATCAGTCAACAAAATGATAAAGTTTTGAAAAAACGATTAATTTCTAAACGTAAGGATAAAAGAAAAAAATTTGAAGAATTAAAACATGGTGAAATGATGCAAGAGACAATGTTTAAGCCTATTACAAAACGATTAAAAAATATCGAGTCTTCTTTGCAAAATTCAACAACAACAACGCCAGCAACGACGATGACGACGACTCTAGTAAGTGATGTAACACAAACTACTCCAAAGTATCATCCTCCCGTAAAAGTGGAGGAGCCCGCCGCCACCGCCGCCGCCACAGCAGAAGAACAAACTTTACCACTATCAGTAATTCAAAAGAAACGAAAAATATTGCCTAGACGGTTATCATTTAATTCGACTCCTATTAGTAATTACGATTCACCGAGTGAAATGAAACAATGAACTATAGATGAAATTGATTCAGATTATGAAGACAACGTAGTAAACGTAGACAAGGAATCTACTAGTCGATTTGAAGATATCCGACAAGTGTCTTTTATTGAATATTTGGATCAATACGTTCCATTACCACGGAAATATATTCGAGAAATTTACGAAGATACCGAAAATAGAGAGTTTGATCACAAGTATGGCGTTAGAATAGATAAAAGTACTGAAAAATTTTTTATTGGTAACTCACAACTAGATATTCAAGGATCAGATATTTATGTTCAAGGTAAACGGTACAGAGGTACTCAAGGTTTATACGAATTGTTATTTAAAAAGTATCCTAATAATAGTTTATTTAACGAACAAGACAGGGAAAATTATAAACAAATTGTATGCAAAACGAACGCTCACAAAAGACATTATAAATCCAATGCTCAAATTGACGGAAAATATAAAAATATTATTGCACCAACAATAACTGGGGGAAAGGGTTTAATGACAACAATGGAAGTGACACCCAATAAAAAAGATTACATTTATTGGGACGGTCACTTAAATGAGATAAATTCGCTAATTGAAGAATTGCGCGAAGCTGATATTATAGAATGAAGCCGTCGAAATTTATTACGGTTGCCAAGCGACAAGTTGTCGAGGAACTTCATAAACCTGCTCGTATAAACTTTAAACGTAGAAAAACTATAATTAAATCTTTATATGATCTGTTTCAAGCTGACCTTATCGAAATGATTCCGTACGCAAAACAAAATCATGGATACAAATACATACTAATTGTAATAAATTGTTTTACTAAATTTGTTTGGGCGCTAAATGTAAAAAATAAGTCGGGAGCGGAAGTGACGAGAGCTATGAAAACAATTTGAAAGTCCACCAAAAAACCAAAAAATTTTCAAACTGACGCTGGAGCTGAATTTTTCAACAAAGACTTTCAAAATTTAATGAAAAAATATCATATCAATCATTATAATGTATTTAGCGAGAAAAAGGCCGCTATAGTGGAAAGAGTGAACCGTACCATAAAAAATATAATGTGGAAAGAGTTTAGTCTACGAGGAAACTATAAATGGATCGACATATTATCGGAAATTGTTAGAAACTACAATAATAAACATCACAGCGTAATTAAAATGAAACCGGCCGATGTTACAAAGAAGCACGAAAAAAAAGCTATTGGAAACGGTGTTTAATCGAATAAAAATGACAAATCTTAATACAAAATTGGTCAACGGAAATTTTTACGGTAGATAAAGTTCAACTAACCAATCCCACTACGTATTTATTAAAAGATGAAAATAATCAAAATATTCTCGGTGGATTTTACAACGAACAATTGCAAAAAGTAAAGTTTCCAGACGTTTACCTAGTTGAAAAAATTCTCAAAAGAAAACGCGATAGTGTTTGTAAAGTGGTTGGGGTTTGATGACAAACACAATAGTTGGATAGATATAAATAATGTTGCGTAGGTGTGAGGAAGATTCAGTTGCAAATTAGTAGTGCTCATAAAACATCTAAAAAATGTTTATCCTCGACGTTCAAGTATTTCAGTATAAACAGAGCGGTTATATCGTTAAAGAAATCGCAATAATAAACGTGTCCAGCGGAGAAGTGTTTCATAGAATGGTGAAAACACCTTGTCCTTATAACTGGTTCACAGGTGAAATTAGAAATCATCTTTTGAAGACCACGAATCGTGTCCACGGACTATCCTGATGAAAAAAAAGATGAGACCTGTCTAGCTCAAGAATGTATAGTTAGTTTTATTGGAAACGTTGTACAAAATAACTATATTTATGTTAAAGGCAGTTGTAAGGTAAACCGGTTAAAATCACTGCTTTATTACAATGATATTGTCGATTTACATGACATTGGATGTCCAAATTTAAAAAATTTAAAAGAAAATAACCAGTATAATTTTCATTGTAATAATCACTTTTATAATTCCTCTAATTGTGCCAAAGAGAATGTACTATTGCTGAGAAATTGGTATATTAATAAAAATTATCTTAAAAAATGAACTTGTTGTTTTATTAACTTTAACCATAATATTATTTTTATCATGTGATGGAAAAATTAAACAAGTTATAACTCGAATATTTTTTTATTATTTTTATTTACTAACTACACTAAATTTTTGACTTTCAAACTCGTCCGCGTCATCGTTTAAAATGAAGCAAAAATCTTCAACTTTGCTGGTAGTGGGAGTGGTGGTGGTCGTCGTCGTAGTGGTGGCTGATTTTAAAATTCTGTTTTCCAGAATTTTTATTTTCTCTTCTTCCGAAGCCGGCTTGAATTTTTTAGCCGGTACGGGTTCGTCCTGTTCTATGGCAGCCGCATAAAAATTGACGTCCGAGAATTCACGCATCCCCTTCAATAATAATTGTAATTCTTCCTCGTCATCGGCCGCCACTCTCAGGTATCGGACGGGAAGATTTTTTAATTTTCCCTGAATCGTTTGATTTTTCGGTGAATATTTCAAATACAAATGAACTCTCTTGTTCACAATCTTCACCTCTTTCCTCCCATACCTATGACAATTTGATAGATTTTTAGTAAATTATGAAAAACAAGGCAATGGAGGTGACAGACTTACCTGAATAAATTTTTTAAAAATACCGCCAGCATTTTCTTGGAAAGTCTGGCGGGATCGGTTGACTCAAAAATCAATGTTGACGGAGTGTCCATCTTCGTTGTGTACATTGTCGTAGAGTTCGATATATCTACGTATCTCGTGTATAGTAAAGTGAACCTCCGAAGAGAGAGGACGTGTACGCGACAGTTAGTGATTACGAGTGCATTAAAAGGATTAACCCAGTGGAAATCTACCTGCTCCGAGAAACGACCGCCCGAGCAGAACCTCGGCCGGCAGGCCGCACGATGGATCGTAAAGATCCGATTTCCGACCCGGAGGATACCCCGGCGTCTTCGGACGACGGAAAAAGGTCTCGCAGCCCCGTAAACAAAAAGCCCGCCAAACCATCCTACAATGATTTGGCAGAGTACAGTAGTAAACTGGCTGCAGAAAACAAGATCCTTCGTTCGAGGATAAACGAAGTTATTCAACAAAATTCCGATCTGCAGAGAACCATCAGCGAAATGCGGGAGGCGCAGAAAACCCAGGAGGAGATGACCAGGAAGCTCCAGGAAACCTCAGACAAGGTACTCGCCAAGGTAGGCAAACCCGACATCACCCCAACCCCACAACCAAACACCACCCCCGCACCAACCCCCGACACGCCCATGGACACGTCCGCATCGGCCACACAAAAGAAAAGGAGGAACTCGGTGGAATTCCCTCCGCTCAAAAAACAACCGCCATTCCACGCCAATCCCAGTCAGACTACGAGCCCCCCGGCGAAGCGCGCGGTTCCCCCGGCGCAGCCAGGGACAAGCAAGGAACAACCCCCGACGACTCGCCCAGTCGAACCGACGCCAAACCAGCCACCAGCCCCGGACACCAAAGACCGCGTTCCCCCAATCATCATAAGGTCCAAGTCAAATTGGGTCCAAGTCTCGGCGGCCTTGAAAACCAGACAAATACATTACACGTCAGCCAGAAACACCGAGGAAGGCATAAGGATACAGCCAGGCAGCACCGCAGATTACCGCAACGCCACGAGGTTTCTGGAGGAAAACCGCATACCATACCACTCCTTTCAGCTAAAAGAAGAAAGAAACCTCCACGTGGTCCTGAAAGGCATCCCCGAATCCCTCGACTCGGAGACCGTCGCCGAAGAACTCAAGGCCCTGGGGTACCACCCGTCGAAGGTACGCAGAATGACAAAGTTGGCCCACGACAAAAGGGTACCAATGGGCATGGTCCTGGTGGTTCTCCCGAGAGAGGAGAAACACATTTACCAGCTACAATACTTCGTCAGTTTAAAAATCAAACCCGAAGCACTCAAGCAACGACACGAGGTGACGCAATGCCACAATTGCCAACTCTTCGGGCACAATCAGGGAAAATGCACGGCGCCGCCGAAGTGTGTAAAATGTGGTGCAGGGCACAGGACAGAAACCTGTAAAAAACCGAAAAACACCCCCGGCCGCTGCGCTAACTGCCGAGGCGATCACACAGCGAACGCGAGGATATGCCCGTCAAGACCGCCACCCAAAATTCCACCCCCCGCCAAGGCTGCAACAGCTGCCACGCCACCGAAGTCCAACCGACCGATGTCCTACGCCGGAGCCACCTCCACACCGCCTGCCCCAAGCCCGAGTCCCGAACCCATCCCCGCACACCAACTTCAGCAGGTTATCCAGCTCTACAACCTGCTGAAATCCTGGAATACACCACCGACAAACGCATCCATAAACATCACCAATGAATGAAATGCATTTATTTTTTTAATTATTATCTATCCTAGAATTTCCACTTCGTCAGCACGATAATAACACAGTGTATTCATAATATTAAAAGCGATCACGTTATATTTATCAATTGGGCAAAACATAATAGTTTTGACAGTAACCCCGCTATCCGATAAAAGCGGTAAAATTCTACAAAGTGATATTATTTATCACATACGCGTCTATTAGAATAGACCAAAAAGTCTGCTGCGTATACGTAAAAATGTCTGAAATCAGTGAGTTGAGTGAAAAAACGCTGCTGAAAATTAAAGAAGTTGGTGAGTTAATTAAAACAAAACATGAATATTGCAAGTGGATAAAATTTCTGAACAGAAACATTTTAATTTTGAAAAAATATTTAAAAAGTGTATCATCGTCATCGTCGACAGACAGAAAAGCGGTTGCAAAAATAGAATCAAATTTAAGTCTTTTAAAAAATTTCAAAGAACAATTCAAACATCATAAAACAGTTAAAAAAAATAATGCAAAATTAATTTGGGTTGATAACGAGTCTTGCCTTAAAAATCGTATTAAAACGGTAGCAATAGTTAATTTAGATATTAAAGATCCTATAATATTTATTAGCAAGGCGTTTAGATCATTCTCTTGTCAAATAAAAAAAGCCCTTCGGGAGTCCCTAATTAAAATTAAGGTAATATTTCTTGCAGATTTTGTAAAACCGCAAACGGGCGAAATCGACGAAAAACATTTTTCCACCAAAAGAAAGAATTTTATAGTAATTATATTAAAAATAATATATTAACAAAATTAGAAGATTTTGAAGATAGGGATTCTGGTTGGGCTCTTCACCGGATTCTACAATTAAAAGTTAACATTAATAATTATACACCGATAAATATCGGTCTTTCAACTTATGTATCGATGCCAAAATTTATTATTAATAAAAAAGCTGTTCTTAATATTCAAAATAACGATGAATATTGTTTTCTTTGGTCTATCGTTGCCGCGCTACATCCTTGTCGTACAAATCAAAATCCGCGTATTACCTATTCGTATCCTCAGTGAAGTTTTAAAATACGATGGCATTGAATTTCCCATCAAATTAAAAGACATAAAAAAGTTTGAAGAAATAAATAATATTTCCATAAACGTTTTCTCATTAGAAAAGCGGGAAATTGTACCGGTGTGTTTAAGTCAATTCTCTTATTTAAGAACGGTTAATTTATTGATGCTTCCCACCGATATAACCAATGATTTCGACGACGACGACAACAATAATCTCTCTAATCACATTAACAATTTTGAGACAGTTTTTCATTTCGCATTAATTAGTAGTTTATCACGGCTATTATCGAAACAAAGAGGAGATTCGACTCATAGCAGATTTTATTGCGATTGGTGAGTTATATATCTATTTATGATGACCCATATAATAATAAGAACGCATTCGATAAGGATAAGCTTATTCAGCTATTATATACTATAAATACAAGTATTGTGCATGTGCTTATTCAGTTTCTTAAGTCGCTTCTTGTCGTAACGCTGCCTGTAAACGCTCGTATTGAATAAAAAATCGTTTTTAAAAATACAAGTTTTACGGACAGAAATAAAATTGGCGCAGTCGGTAGGATCCTTTTCGGTGTGTTTTCGAAAATTTACTCGATATTAGTGCGCTGGATTACCGTTTTTGGATTGTCAGTGCATTGTACTTCTCGAAAGTTTCTTCGCGATTAGTGTGCTGAAACGCCAGTTTGGATCATCAGTGTATCGCAAAAGGGATCGTGACACACTTCTGTTTCAACAGTTAAGAAAAAGATTTCAAAACATCATCGTTACACAGGGCACTTGGGGCTCCTGGCAACATCGATCATTGGTACGCCATTTCGATAGCCAGTAGGACGAACTAGCCTGAGCCAGCGTCCACTACAAACGGCATCGTTCTTGGGAAAGTGCAGCTTCTCAACTGGACGTGACCATTTGATACAGGAACGAGACTAGGAACATATAATTGTAAGTGCGTTTACTAAACTGTTCCTTATAGTTGTGACTCCTGTTAGTTAAGAATTTGTAAAAGATTTTATGATATTTCATGAGGAAATTTAAAAATAGGCTAAGCGTTCTAGAAGAATAAATAGTGCGGAAAATAATCAATCACGTAGTAATCAAATAGACGAATTATATTCTGGTATTTCTTTGTTGCATTGTGTAAGTGAAGAAAATAATCCTACTCTTACGGATACTTTAGAATAAAATAATCGGGGTTTTCTACGGGCTCCTGCCCTGTGCCGTACCAACCAACGGTTCCGGAACAGTCGCGTGTGTCGTCCCTCTGTATTGTGTGTGTTCGCGACTGTCCTGGGAGACATTTCGGGCAATTCGGGTTTGCTCTGTGTGATGACCTTGGCTAGAAGAAGCGCCTAGCCCTACCACCCCCTAGTTGACGGGAGCCCCCCCTTTTGCTTGTGCGACCATCGACGCGGCCGTCGCGGCGCAGACGTTGAGAGAGCGCTTTTGTCCTACCGTTCGCGGTTTAGTGTTTAGTGTCTTGTCGATGCTTCCAGTCATAACCAGTTGGGTCCCTACATTCTAAGGGACCCTGTCGACCGACACGTACTTTTGTGTTACTTTGTCTTTCGCGCGCGCGTGGTGCGTGTGCGTGGCACATGGCATCTCAGAGTCGCTTCCCCTGCGAGGGGTGCGGCCGTGGTTATCTGACGGCGGCCAGCCTCGCCCAGCATCAGAGGAGATACTGTCGCGGCCGTGTTGAGGAGGGCTCTAGCGGATGTGAGGAGTGTGGCCGGGCCTTCGCCACATATGCTGGGTTGCGGCAGCATATACGCCGTGCCCACCCGGACGCCTACAACAGAAGCGTCGAGCTGGGCGATCGCCGGAAGGCAGACCCTGTCTCAGAGTTGGAGCGCTCTGCTATATGCCTGGCAGAGTTGGAGTACGGTGGAACCGCAGTCAACAAACATCTGGCTGAGAAGTTCCACCGTACCGTGGATGCCATCAAAAACCTCCGCAAGCAAAAGGCATACTGCTCTCTACGCGCCCGGCTAGAGGCTGAGCAGAAGGAGGCTCCCGGCCACCTAACCCACTTCCCCTCTCATTTTGACCGGCCCTCACAGGCTAGCCCATTGCGCCTGCCTTCGCCGCCGGCGCGTCCCCGTAGGGGTACCAGAACCCGGAGGATGGCCATCCGCTTCGAATCGGGTTCCATCAACGACGACCAGTTCGTCAGCCCGCCGCCTCGAAGGGACGCCCCATCACTGTCCCCGCCATCAGATAGTAGCGACACCGTATTCAGGACTGGACCGTCCTCCTTGTCGTCCGCGTCGTCCGCTCCCTCCTACGCTGCGTCTTCTCCCGACACCCCGGCTGCCCCGCCTGCTGCCCCCATCACGACGAATGACTTCCTCTCCACCGAAGCCGCACTAGGTGGCACCGAGGACATCCGCGAATACATCTCTGAGCTTGCGGCCCATGAGAGTATCTCTGACACTGTCGGGGAGATCGTTGGCAGGATCACCAATGGCGTCGGCGATGCGACCGCTGCGTTGGAGGAGCTATACCTTACTTTATGGACACCCGTCGAAGGCCGCCCTGTTGCGGCCCGAGATAGACACATCGCGGCAACGACACCTATGCGCCCGGGCTCGCGACGCGCACATCGGTTTAAGCGATACCAGGAGCTATATGATAAGGACGGGTCTGCACTCGCGAATCTTATCGTTCGCGGCGTGGACCCCGGCGCCGTGGGTGTTGTCCCTCCAGAGGAAGAAATCCGCGCGCACTACAGTGCTGTCTTCGCGGGGGCCGCCCCAGAAGACAGACAGTTTATATATATATATATATA